GTTTGAGACACTGATATGGTGCAAGATGTCTTGTACACTTCTATGTGATTTTCCATGTCGTTAGTCGAAGAATTCTTTTCTGACTCCATTGTATGAACTTCTACTTGCAGCCTGGAAACTTTTCTGAAACAATTTTAACACTTGAAAAGGGACATTACAAGGCTGAGATGCAGCTTCCTGCAGTTTTTAAAGAATGGATGCAGGAGTGTTGATATTAATCGCTTGACTATATTGCATGCTGCTCTTTCCCGGTGGAGCAGGGAACAACTTCAAATATTTTTAGTCATTACTTACAGAGCAGGAAGCTCAAAATTTCTGTGCTTCATGTTTTTTCATCTCAGATTCTCAGCGCGCTGTTTTATGCCCCTCTTGTTCCATTAGAGATGTAAAAATGGTCGTGTTTTTTTCTTTTCCCTTTTTACCCTTCAAGTAACTTTGCTGGAAGTGAAGTACGGTTCAGACTTGATTAACATTCTACTTGTGAATATTTCCTTGATATATGAACACGTTACACGTCACTGGGAAAATATAGCGAATAACATTGCCCTGACCCAGGAGAATCTTATGTTTATCATTGACTGTCCAGGTTCTGAATTTGAGAACTACAACTCTCCGTGCTCCTCAACACTATCTAGCTTCATTTGAGGAAAAAAGAAAAAGAAAAGGAAAACAATACTTTGCTTTTAAGTCTGAGTAAGAAAATCTATTGTACTGGATACAATGTTCTGTCGGTTGTGTTTCTGTTTTTGATTTTCTTTTGTATTCCTAATCAATCTCACCGACTAGTTAGCTGAGATGATACTTGTCACTTTCTATCTTTGTGAGAAACCCAAGCCAAAAAGTTGGTAGCCCCATCCCTGAACAAGTATGGCTCTTGAGCCCATAAGGGTCGGTAAGTTGGTTGAGTGAATGATTTTTTATATGGAAGATTTAGGATCGTTTTCTCTCACTAGCAACTTCCTCAATCAGAGTTTGTTGCATCGAACTTGTTTAGTACGGTTTATATTTTTTGTATGGTTTGCGAGTGCGAGCTATTGCACAATGAGTAGGTTATTCAATCTGCACCCGAAGGATAGCGGCACGTGAATTTCCCTGAGAATTTTCCAAAACAAAAAAAGTAATATGACTATTAGTTAGAAATGTATTTTTATGTTAGATCAATAGATCTTGTGTGTGCTTATGTTAGATTCGTTTGAAAGCAAGGATTTGTTGCAATATATGTCTATTATCTTGATTATTATTTCGGTCGGGCATCTATTTTTTATGTATTAGATGAGCTGGAGTTTCTATATCTGTGCTTATTGTTTTTTTATAAAGCTTGAGAGTAATTTAGTCATTTCACGTTAGTTCTTACAAATGCGATTGTTATCTCCCCTCCCTGAGCTGAGGGTCTTTCAGAAATAACCTCTCTACTTTTTAAAAGTAGGGGTAAAGTCTGTGTACACTTTACCCTCCCCAGACCCCATTTGTAGAAATACACTAGGTATGTTGTTGTTGTTGATGTTCTTACAAATGCCATTTACGTGGTGTCTACACAAATCTACCTGCAAGTAAGGGTGACAATTTGAGCCCAAATCCATTCAACTCATCCAACCCGCCCAGAGGTTAATGGATCGGACTACAAACATTTTAACTCATGGGTCTATTTGGACTGAGCTTAAGTTAACCTATTATTTTTTAGGGAAATTTTCGTTCCTATACCATATATGAAACTATATTACAAAAAATGTCCATAATTTGCAAATTACCCACCCTGCTAACAGATTTTCTACAAAATATAAACCATTCATTAAAAATAGAATCCTGTTAGCTGTACAATTCCTTTAATAGGCGCGCGAATGTTGGGATATTAAGGATTCTTCCAGATTTTATCCAACGCAAATCTCGCTATTAAATTTCGCCCGTTTCTCTCCAAAATTCACTACTCTATTTTTACGACAATACTCTGTTTCACTGGTTTTTCTGATTTCACAAATCAAAAGCGATTAAATTAGCTACAATTCTTCTGTAACAAGCGCAATTATGTCGAAAATCTCAATTATACTTCAACTGAATGGGAATTGGGATAGCTATGGGAGATATAGAGACTTTCAGGTCGATGGAATTATAGTCGGAGAGGATGCGAGTAATAGCCTATTGAATTCTACAATAGCAGAGCATCTAATGATAGATACATCCGAAAAAATAATTGAAATCAAATACATATCAACGAACATTGTCCTCCAATGGAAATTAGGAACGATATGAGTGTTCGTGTATACATGGAGACGAAAAAGGAAAACAAAAGCTTAGGAACATATCCGCTATGTATAACAGTACGTGATTTCAATTTGGAATTGAGTATCACCAATTCGAACACAGTTGCATGTTTGTTCTGTTACATTACTATCGAATTTTGGTTGTATATTACTGATCTACAATTTATCTACAATATTTCTACAAAAAAAAAACTACATGTCAAAGTCTATATATATATATATTAGTATTGAATTTCATTCTATCTACAATATTTCTACAATAAAACTACATATCATTTGTAGCTCAATATGAAATATAGAATTTCAATATTTCTACAAATTAACTACAGAATATCTACAAAAGACAATGTAGATAATTTGTAGATATTTTGTATTCAAATTGTATATGAATTATTTTTTGTTTGTAATGTAATTGTAGGTGAGGGCTTCAACAGATCATATCCATACAGTGATAGATGGTGTGAAGCGCTATATTGTTTGTCGTGAAAACAAGAGATGTAGCTGTGGGCAATTCCAGCTTGATGAACTTCCTTGTGCACATGCTTAGGCTGCTTTAAGGCACATGAATGAGTCTTATGAAAACTATTATTCTCCTTATTAAACAAGAGAGAGCCTCTTGCGTACTTATGAAATACCAGTAAATCCCCTACCTGATGAAAGCAAATGGAATGTGCCATAACATATAACTGAAGAAGTTGTAAATCCACCTTCAGGTGGGAAAAGATAGCCAGGAAGACCTCAAAAATAAAGATACAAAACATAAGATGAAGTAAATTCAAAGAAGTACAAGGTTTCATGTGGCAACTGCGGAGTAGAAGGACATAACATAAGATCTTGCAAGAATGCTCCCAAAAAGAAATAAAATTTTATGTAGTAAACTGAATTTTTCATAAAAATTGCTGATGAGTTCAGGAGAATTATATTTGATGTGTAATAGTTTAGGCACCTTCAACTCTTAATGTAGTTAGTTTGAAATTGTTTTGTTTAATTAGTATTCTGTATTGAGTTAATACTTTGGTAGCTTGATTGGTTTGTGAATGATTTCTATATATATAATACACAGTTGTTTTATTATCTCTAGCACCCATCGATAGTTGTTAATGATCCTTACAATTTATCTACAAAAAAACTACAAAATAACTACATAATCTGGAGTTGACAGAGTAACTACATAATAATCAAGTTGAAAAGGAGTTAACCAGTAGCAATAATTAGATCAAGTACTGTTTACTTTCAACAAGTGAATATAAAAACAACAGAATATTTCCCCATTGTTCGAACTAGTATACTGGATAAAATAAAAATATAAAGGGTAAAATAATTCACGCACAAATCTGCTACAATTAAATTTCAACAATCTTATTCATAAACTTGTCTACTATCTTTCTACAAAACTAGCTGCAATTAAATAATTTAACTACATGTTCCATACAAAATATTGCAACTAATTCTTCTTCTTCCAAATTTGTGTTTTCTCGTTCACAACTGGTGCACCTTTTTTCCTTGCTAATCTGCTAGTTACCTAACTTTCACTAATTGCACCATTCTCTTGCTTCTTCCTAGCGTAGTCCCACAGTAGTGCTCCATAGCGTCTACGATATTGCACCAATCTTTTATTAATACACTGCTCCAATCTAAAAAAACAACATATCTACATTTGTCATACAATATATCTACAATATATCTATAACTACATAATACAGTTAAAAACAAAAACAATATAACTACAATTTTTTTACAATATATCTACAAGTTTAAACAGATTCAGAAAACTACAACTAATCTTCTACAAGTTTAATGACAGGTTCATCTTCTACAAAATCATCATCAAAATCTATCTCTTTGCCTTTCCTTTTCGCTGAATTGATTTGCCTCGAAGATTCACCAGCATCAAAATCATGGTTTTGTTTAGTTCTAGCTTCTGCCCTAGCTTGACGAGGGGAAAGCCTATGCTTCTTCTCTTCATTTGCATGAGCAGATTTTTCATGCTTTTTCGGTGAATGTGGTGATAAAACACCCAAATCGAAAGAAGGAACATCTGCTTCTTTAACTTTTTTAGGGTTGTTCTTTGAAGCTCTGTCCTTCTTCATTGAAAATCTTTGAAGCTGGGCGTTAATGGGTGAATGAACTTTGAAGAATAGTAGAAATTTTGACTTATTTTAGAAGAAAGAACTTGAGAATAGACGTTAATGGAGGGGTTACAGATTTTCGCTGGTTTTAGAAGAGGAATTGTGGGTGATTGAAGAGGAAATCGTGGGGTGTGGTTTGATACGTGGGCGAGAGGGTGGGATTTGGAGAGAGAAGTGTGGGGGAGTGGGAATATACAGTAGAGTTAAATTAGGAGACTAATTAATACCATTAAAACCCCTAATATGTACATAAGTGGTAATTAGGTATATAAAAGGTAATTATATTAAAAGTTAAGCATGACGGGTAATATAGTTTGCTAAATGGCATAGGAATGTAAAAATTCCTATTTTTTATAGCTCATTCTGACCTATAAAGTAGCCTAAATACAATCCATGAAACTCAAGGGATCTCGACCCAATTTATCTAAAAATTTACTTAGTTGTCCCAATTTAACTTTTTTTTTTGTATTTTCAATTTTCTCCCCCCAAACCCCCTCAATTTTTTTTACTTTTATTTTATGTATTTTTAATTTTCTATTTTCTCTTTTTTCTACACCANTCAAAATACTAATAGTATTTATTTACCTTTTAGGTGTATAAAAGGTAAAAAGTTTTGTTTATGCAAGATAAGCATGGTTCTAAATCATGGGTCAAGTTGGGCAGGTTGGGCTATGACCCATTGTTTAGCCCATCTTGACCCAACCCATCTTAGCCCAAGTACACTTTGGGTTGGGTTGGGCAATGACTCATTTATTGACCTAATCTATCTTGGCCCGCCAAATTCAACCCAACTCACATATTTGTCACCCCTGCCTGGAAGTATGTTTCACTTTCAATCAATTTTGCTCATATCTTCTTTCTCCTTTTTTCTTTGTTCTTTCATCCCTTTGGGTTTCTTTTGGGTTTTCTTCACCATTGTTACATACGAAATTTAATGTTTTTTCTACGTCTTTTTCTTTTTTCTTTACAATCTTTTTTTCCCTATGTATTCTTTTGGCTAATTATAAAGTTCAATGGCTGTTGTAAATTCTCTTTGCCCGTTTCCTTTCTCATTTTTCTCGGATTCTTTTTCTCTTGTTTAAATTTTTTCCCTATCTTAATTTGGGTTTAATAACGCCCAACTATGCCTTTTAAAGGACAAAGTGGTCGCTGCAAATATAATCCGATTTTAAGTCCGGAATCGA